CGCGGGCGGCAGGACGGGGTGTCCAGCGAGCGCCCTGCGGCCCTGGACGTCCTGTGGGAAAGGGCAGAAATGTATTTCAGCCGAAAGCGTCGCCTAGCGTAGTGACGCTGAGGGTGGCGGTGACCGATTAGCTTCCAGCTGTCGGCTGCTGCTTTCCATTCCCGGCCCGCGCGAGTCAGGCCTCCCTGCCGCCCCCGCAGCCCCGCTAGCCGGCTGATGTCCCTGGAAAGGGCACCGACCATCTCCTCCTCACTACATCTGCGTCTTAATGGTCGGGCCTAGTCTGTTGTCCTGCCATGGTAGACAGCTAAGTTAGGTAGAAATATTATACACAGACAGTGCTGGGCCCCGGAGGAAGTCAAGACAGAAGATGAAAACACACAACCGTGGCTGGAGCGCATCAGCTGGAGGCCAGGCCTCAAGATAACAGCAAAAGAGCAGACTGACATACTCCCCAACGCGAGATAAGTGATGACACCTGATCTAGCAAGGTGTAGATAGACGTCAGTCACCTCGGTGGGCAACCTAGACCCCCCAAGTCCATCACCTCCCTGGGAAGTTCTTTGTTCTTTCCAAGCCTACTGGCTACATGGCTTGCTTCCCCATTGGATCAGTATCACCTAAGCAGCCATACTTACAGTCTTACTGGCTGATCATAGCTGTAACCCACTTCGTACTCATGTAGATTCTGCTCTATAAAATTTCCCTATAACAAACAAAAAAACAAAAAACAAACAAAATTTCCCTATAAAGTGCAGTCCCCTGCTACCTAGATGGGTCGCTTCCTGTTCCTCTGACAGGAGCTTTCTCTCTCTCAATAAATATTCCCTACTCTTAAACTCCATTGTTCCTACAATGCATTCTTTGATTTTAGAGAAGACAAACTTAGTGTATCAGACATCTAACAGGTTGGGAGTTACATTTCCCTTCTATCATACTTGGAGGTTCTGACTTCATTCTTGTCTCACTGCGAAAGATGTGTTACCCATGTGGTCACTCTGACAGTTAACCTCTTCCCTGGGCTTCCACCACGCCAATGTGCTCTTGATTCTCCTACCTAACACCCCCCCCCTCAAAATTTAAACCTCATTTGGATATCTGGTAGCTATTCCAAAGTTAATTTGTACAAAATGTATTTTTTTTTTTTTTTTCTTTTTGAGGCAGGGTCCTGCTATGCAATTCAGGCTGGCTTTCAGCTCACTTTGTAGCACAGACTGGCCTCAAACTCACCACTATCCTCCTGCCTCAGCCTCCCGAGTGCTGGGATTACAGGCGTGCACCACCACACCCGATTTGTAACTGTTGTTATCCAAAAACTTGTTCCTCTGTTAGTAGTTTTCCTGTTTTCTTTCTTTTTTTAAAATAGGGGTAACACTGTATTTATTCAGACGAAAAATTTGGAATCATCGATTCCTCGCTTTCCCTCCAACCTTGTTATGAAAGTGCTCTTGGATGAGTCAGGCCCTTGGCACTCTCCCTCCCCCGCTGGCCATGTGATTAATTTTAGCCGTGGGCTATTAGAAAGCATAAGGTGAGCAGAGTATTGGGAATTAGGACACTGCAGGGCGCTATACGAAGTCTGAGTACCCTGACACCACCCACCTCTGACTGCAGGGTGATTCTCTCCAGCTGATGCCACCTGGACTAGAACTGCTCAGCTGAGCCTTGCTTTTCTCAACCCCTGAGCACAGAACTGTAATAAAAAGAGCTACACCTTAACCTTTGTAATCGAATTTTTTCTTTTTTTCTTTTTCTTTTTTTTGGTACCAGGAATCAAACTCTGAACCTTGCATTTGCCAAGCAGGAGCTGTGCCAGTGAGCTATATCCCCGGCCCCATGTAAGCTTTTTAAAAATGTGTTTTGAGACAGAGCTTCCAAGTTTCCCAGGCTGGCTTGAATTTGCTGTGCTCTTGTCTCAGCCTCCCAAGGAGCTGGGATTATGGTTTAACTGATTTTCCTTCTTCAGTTCTTGTTTTCCTAAACTCCGTTCTCCACATTAGCAAGAGTAACCCTGTTAAAGCAAGTCTTACCATTATTCCACTCAGAACTCTCGGAGGGCACTGTTTCGTGTGATGCATCCTGAGATGTGCCCATCTCTGCCCCGTTTCTCCTGTGGCCTCTTCTCCGCCCCTGGGATGTTAGGTAGCACCTTCCGTGTGGCTCCTGCCTTGCCCGTTTCTTAAGCATTACTTTTCCTCTCAAATATCCACCGAACTCACCTGCCTAGTTTGTTCAAAAATTACTGGGCAATGCGTCCAATCCTCCCCATGCTTTACCCTACTGTTATTTTTTCCACAGATGGTATGAGGTTTTGTTGTTGTCTGTTCTTTGAGACAGTGTCTGGCTTGTTCATGGATATGTCTTGACAGCTAAATCAGTATCTGGCCGGTGTGTTGACCTACTGAATTTAAGAACTGTATTACTTTACTAAGGCTGCCATAATAAAATCTCATAAACTGGGTAGCTTGAAACTATTATTGTGTGGTGCTGGGAGGTTAGAAACTCGAAATCATGGTGTTGACACAATCTCCAAAAACTCTTTTGCTCAGGAAGCTGAGGGAGGAGAACCATGAGTTTAAGGCCTGCGTAGACTACCTAACAAGACCTTGACACAGAACAGCAATCCCTTTAAAAGACTCGTTCTGAAGCCGGGCATGGTGGCACACGCCTGTAATCCCAGCACTTGGGAGGCTGAGGCAGGAGGATCGTTGTGAGTTCAAGGCCAGCCTGAACTGCATGGTGAGACCCTGTCTCAAAAAGACCAAAAAAAAAAAGGACTCATTCTGTATGTTTCCCTTAGCTTCTGGTGTCCCGTTTAGCTCTTTGGCATTCCAGTGTCCCAGCTGCGTGGCTCATCTGTGTCTTGGTCATCACTCGGGGCTCTCCGTGTACCTCTCTCACATGGTGTTTCCTTATTCAGGACAGCAGTGATATTGGATTAGGGCCCACTTTAATGACCTCATCCAAATTTGCATCTACAACTGTTTCCAAATAAGGTCACATTTGTAGGGGCTGAGGTTGAGGCCTCAATATATCTTTTTGTGAGGTTTATTTCAACCAATAACAGAGACCTGTACTCCTTAACCTCTCCCACTGGTTGTTTGTCAGTTTATAGGTACAAACGCTGTCAGTTACAAGTCTTGTTTTTCATATTATTTAATAATAAAAAAAATCTCAATCTAAAGTCAGTGAAAGACAAGGTCAGTATGAATGTGAAGTAGAAAATTTATAAAATCGTTCTTCCTGCCGAAACCACATGACAGTGTCTAAATAGGTAACCAGCAGAGACCACCAGGCTTGTGTAGAGGCAACATGGCGTGGAATTTATTGTGCCTGGGTTCAGGCAGATCGTGACAAGATCTTCTGCCCCAACAAAGCAAAGTGCATCCCTTTTATAGGCAGGAAGATCCCAAGGAGCACCCGTGGTTAGTTTTCTGGCCATCTTCCATCTCAGTGGGTGCGTCCTTTGAAGTGTCCGCTGTGAATTTTGGGGTGTCTCGCACCTGTAAACTTCCTTGTCCTATCTTACCCCCTTGCCTGTGTCTGCTGAGTGCTGAGCTCAATTCCCTGCAGAGAGCAGTGCTTCTGCGGGCAAGCACGCTGGAGCTGAGTCAGGCCAGGCTGGAGACTTACAATCCATGTCTTAGTTATAAAAGGGAAATGGGCAGTTTTTTATGTTTTTTTTTCTGCATGACACCTGAGCCAAGTGGGCAACCTAGTGGGAGAGAAATCTTGAGGAACAGGGCTTTATCAGACAAGTCAGCACCAACACCTGTCTGCTGGTAATCGCTTGCCTCCGAGTCTGTAAAAAAACAGATAAAAGTCTGAGAAGGCATGGAAATCCAGACCTGGGAGGAGACTGGAATGGCTGTACAGGCTGCTGCTGACACGGACGTGCAGAGCCAGCAATCTTTGCTTAGGGTAGGACTGGAGCAGTTTGGTAAAAAATGAATTAACATTAAGGTTAATAGAGGTGATTTGGACTAACTGAAGCTGCCAGTCATATGAACTGGGCAAAAGGTCGTAGGTAAGGGGAGGGGAGTTTAATCAGAACTATGGTAAACACAAGCAGGTCTTTTATGTGAGGTAGAAGACAATAATTGGAATTGCAGTAAGATTTGAGAGTAAGACGTACAGAAAATGTATAATAAAATAGCCTTCTACAAAGAGGATACGAAAGTCTAGGGGATTTTACAAACTGCTATGGTCCTAATGTGTTTTAATACCTCAAACAGCCACAGATCAGGAATGTGTATGTAGCATTTAGCTTTAATAATGGCACAAGTATTTTTTATTGTTAGACTATCTAATGTCATCTAATTTTGGAGTACAACTTATATATTTTAATTTAGGACAGGGAGAAAACAGTCATGATATCTTTTACAGTGAAGAGCTACTATTTTGGAGGTCATGTAGGCAAATGACAAAAGTTTGTATTTCTGATTATACTTTTCTGCTGGGTGTTTAAGTTAAAGTAAGACCTGTGTTATTAAAGTTGACCTCTGGCTATCTCTCAAGGTCAGTTAAGTCTCCTCAGGACTTACCTGGGAACCATGTATGCAGCCTTTCCGTTCTTCTGTGTCAGCCATCAGGATGAGTCACACAGCCCTTGCTAGGCCAGCTTTTTTACTAGAGCATGGCAGACTTTTTCCTGGTGACTCTCCTTAGCCACACTATCACTGATTTTTGTCCTCTGTGGTCCATCAATCTCCTTGGTGATGAGGTCAGGGATTCACCCAGTTATAGGATGTCACAGAAGAGGTTCCCTCATGTACTGGGTCTTCCTTGGCCTTGGAGGGCCAAGACCAAAACACTGGCCTCTTAGCCCATCTATCTTTTTAGTTCTGGTCTACGAATCTCAGCTGCTGAACATCCAGAAGAGAAGGTCAATGAAACTACACGTAGCGGGAGACTCAGTGCCAGGACAGATTACAGATGGACATGGAAAAGCATCTCACTGTTCTTTTTGAAAGCTGAACTATGTAACAAACACCCAAAACTAAACTGTTTTAACTTTATTTTACTGATACAAATACATGAGAAGCAAAGTCAAATGAATTACACATTAAGGTGAATAAATACAGAGAAGCTTCTACTTCCACTAAAGTTGTTTAAAGTAGAAACACCCTACATACTTTGTACAGTTTGCTTGTAACTGTGAAGTGAGACAAAATTGTACTTAACCAAACTTTTACTTCTCCGTGGAAAATGCTCTCTTCATCAGAGGTGGCTGAGCTTTTCCGACGTCAAACATCATTTCCAAAGGCGGATTATTGAGGGAGCACCAATCGGGGATACGGCCTGTCTGATTATAATATTCCTTTGAAACTGAACGACTCCCAAGTATATCTTGCAGCGCTCCAAAAATAGCCCCTGTATGGAAAAAGAAAGTTTAGCTAGGATGAGAACTTTACCAGAAAACTTAAAATATATACACATCCATTATGTGAAGAGCGGGCTTGATTCAGCATGAGCACACTTCACACGCGTTACACTCATTTTCAGCAATGGGGTAAGCCCGGACTCCTGTGTTCGAGGTAAGTGGACCAGCCCCAGCAGAGTAAAGTGAACACGGTACCAATTACTGCTGGGGAAAGTGAGGTAGAGCGGGGTGGAAGATACTGACAACTTTGCAAACACAATCAGGTCAGACACTTAGTTTTTTTTGCCCCATCTCTATGGTTACATGTCAATAAACAAAATGGCACTATAAAATTGATAAGCAGCACTTTGAAACCCTAAAATTCCATATTAAAGACCTTAGAAAGATGGGATGGGCACAGCAGTCTTTATGAAAATAATTTTGTCATTAAATCTACTTGTCCTAGATCAAAATTACATTTTGAACCAGGCATGGTGGCACACGCCTGTAACCCCAGAACTCTATAGAGGCTGAGGCAGGAGGACCGTTGCAAGTCGAGGCCAGCCTGGGCTACAAAGTGAGCTCAAGGCCAGCCTGAACTGCATAGCAAGAACCTGTCTCAACAAAAAAAATAAAATAAAATTACATTTTGACCAAATTCTACAAGAATTGATACTCTATTAATTTTACTTAATTAAATTAATTGGTTTTTATTTTGAGACAGGGTTGAACCCGAGGCATTTTTCCTGCCTCTCTGCCTCCTGAGTGTTAGGATTACAGGTACACACCCCATGCCTAGCATTGATTACTTTAAAATTTCAGTACTTTGTTTTCTCCTCTATATGTATGCTTCTGATACCTACTAGCTCTAAATGCAAAATGAAACATGTATCAAAATGTGTCTACACAATTGTAGTTATGATGTTTTTTTCTTCAATGTAGTTACTTATTAGGATATCTGCTTGTTTCAGTGAAACTATTATTACTTATAACATTCAAAGAAATCACAAAGTAGAGTTAAAAATAAAGAGATCATGCTGTAATCCCAAGTACTCTGGGAGGCTGAGGCAGGAGGATCACAAGTTTAAGTCCAATTTGGGCAATTTAGACCCTGTCTCAAAATAAAAAATTGAACAATGGGCTGGAAATGTAGCTCAGTTGGGTTCAATACCCAGTAAAGCAAAACAAGGAAGCAAACAAACCAACTTTCATGTCACTGCCTGGCTTTAACTAAAACAAATGTTTTGAGCAATGATAGCTTCACCGGAATAAATTCAAAGCTTTTACTATTCTGAGGAATGCCTTTAATTGGATGACGTTTACTTAAAATCACAGTGCAAATGCCCAAAGAAATAATTATGTAATTCTAAAAATATGATTGAAAGAAAACTCAATGTTCAAAGAAATTATTTAATCTTCCCTCCCTCCCTTCTTCCCTCCTTTCCCCTTTCTACCTTTCTTTCTTCCTTCCCTCCTTCCTTCCTTTCTTTCTGAGACAGGGTCTTGCTATGCAGCCCAGGCTACCCCTGAACTCACAGTGATCTTCCTGCCTCAGCTTCCAAGTGCTGGAATTACAGGTGTGTGCAGGCACCCTAGCTAATAGTTCTACTTATTAAGTAAGAGTTCTGAATACTGAGTCTTCTATTTTAATATGGCCATTAGTAATACCACTCAGAAACAAATATAATACGTGTATTTTAAAAACTAAATTCTTACCTCCCAACCAGGCCACACAATTAGCCTTTGCAGGTGGAGTATGAATGCGGAATGTCTTGGTGCCAAGTGCTTTTTGGTACTTTGGTTTTTCTACCAAGTACCTTATTTCTGCAAGCAACCTGTGCAGAAATCCTGGCAGCATAGACGTGCCACCTATGACTACCAAGTTCTCGGCAAGTTGCTTCCTGGTGTCTATTGGGCACTGCATTAAAAAAAGGAATAAAAAAAGAATTTATCCTTAATTGGATAAACAGCTCAACTGCAGACAATCTACAGAAATGTGCAGTACCGATCAAGCAGGTCGCACTTGTGTTACAGAACAGGCTCCTGCAAGGTTTCTCTCCTGTAACCACAAGATCATTTACACAGATAGACACACACAAAGAAAGAACTTCAAAGATTTTTTTTTGTTTTTAAAATACTTAGAAAAACCTAATACAATCTAACAGTGTAGCATCTTAAATCCCCCAGCGCACATGGCTATAATAATATGTCTGACGAGTCAGGTGAAGAGCACCAAAAAAGTAACTCTTAGCAAAGCACACACGTGGAAACTAGTTTTTTACATGATTATGCTCACAGCCAGCTGGTGAGTAGAAAGATAAATTACGTTTCTGTTTTAAGAATCAGGAATGATAAAGCCCTTCACTGAGCGGAGCCCTAGAGGTAGACCGTATCTTTCAACGTGATGGCTTCTCAGATAGAGCTGTGTGCTTACGTGGTCACCAGACAAAGGGGCGCATTACCAGATGCCCTGTGGATTCAGATGGCGTCTCACTACGGTACCTAGGCCGGCCTCAGACTCCTTGGCTCAAGAGACCTTCCTGCGGTGCTGTGGAGGCGCTGGGACTACAGGCACACATCATGGCACCTGGCTTGGCCCTGTGCAGCTTAAAACTCAATACTAACCTGAATTAGAAGGAACCATAAGCTACCTTTGTTTTGGTCTTTTTTCTTGAGACAGGATCTCCCTATGCAGTTCAGGCTGGCCTTGAGCTCACTTTGTAGCCCAGGCTGGCCTCGAACTTGCAACGATGCCCCTGCCTCAGCCTCCCAAGTACTGTGATAACTGGCATGCACCACCATGCCCAGCTGTACTACCTTACATACACAATAAAAATCTGATAACCCTGTCCTGAAAAAATGCAACTGTCCATGGTAATGCGTGTATGAAACGTAGATACTGTATCTCAGTGCTAAAGTAAAACTCGTTAACTTAAAAAAACTTAAAGGAAAACTAAAAAGTAAAATAATGTCTGCGGGTGGTGGTGCACATCTGTACTCCCAGGCTGAGTCCGGAGGACTGCCGTGAGTTCGAGGCCAGCCTGGATTATAAAGTGAGACCCTGTCTCAAAAAACAAAACAAAATAAAACATCAAAAAAAGGAACTAAAAGATAGTAAAATCCAACAAGCAGACTAGTTAGTGGGATAAGAGATTTAAAAACAAACTAGAAAACTCCCTGCATGTCTTTGTAAAACCTCAGAAATAATACACAAGGAAAATACAGAAAAAAATTTCAAATTTTTCCTTAAAAGAGAAACTTTTTATGAAGTAAAATACCTGCAGAAGGGAATCCAATATTAATGTGGCAACTGATTTCTCTTCATTATCTTGTTCAAAGAGAATTTCCACAACTGAATCTCTAATGAGATTAAGAGAGAGAGTACTCTGTTGACATTGTGTATGACACAGAATAAACAACTGTACTCACACAATATTAAGTACCAATACTACGTTAATGCAGAATTATTATTAAAATACAAGGCATTCTCACTTGTAAATGGGAAAAATAACAGTGCCCAGCTCTAGCGAGTCAGAATAGGGTTTGGCACATGAGGTATTAGCCTCTACTACCATGTGTAACATCTCTTCAAACCTAGTAACAGACTAGAAACAGTATTCTGTGGACCTAAGATCCAACAAGCCTATAAGCCACTGATACAAGGGATTTAAAAACAAATTAATAAAAACTCTCCATTTCTTTTTAAAAAATATATGACAAAGATTCTACTGCCTAATAAAATATACATTTTCTTTTTCTAAAATTAAAAAGAACTTTGGTTCTGGGTAGCATCTTTGTGGTAGTAGAATACTTCTGTTTTATTGTATTACTTAAGGTGTACAAGTATGTTTTGATGTACACATACATAGTGAAATTATTACCACAGTCAATGAACTATCCCCTTCCACAGTTACCTTTCTATCTGTGGTGAGACCAGCTAAAATTTACTTTCTGCAAATTTTCAGTATATAATCCAAAATAATTTCAACTGTAGTTCTCAGGGCGGGCATTAGGTCTCTAGACTTGCTCAACCTCCTCAACTGCAGGTTTGTGCCCTGAGATCTGCTTCTGTCCATCTCCTTCCCTGGCTACCCTGGCAGCTTTTGCTCTATTCTACTTCATGATATCTGAATTGTATTTATTTTTATTTCTTAAAAATTTTATTTTATTAGTACACGTTTGCAGTTCATGCACTTTCCAGTCCTCTTGGGGAGTTGGTAAATGTACATAATACGCTTGTTTCTATTTTTAGATATCTGAATTTTAGATTCCACAGTGAGAACAAGCAGTATCTTTCTTTCTGGGTCTGGCAAGAGTTCTACATCTTCACTGTTGTAGAACAGATTACAGAAATCTATATGTGATAAAATTACAAAGAACTGTACATACAATTTATACCAATGCCAACTGACTAGTTTTCTTATTACACTACAGCTATATAAGATATAACCATTGGACAAACTAAAGGGTATGCAGGATCTTTTTTTTTGTAACTAATCAATAATTGTTTGAAACTTTGAAAATCTAGAACATCATTTTTAAGCTAGATATATTATATTCCTTACTTCTACCAGCTAAAACACCAGGGAGGCTGTACTAACTAGACTTGTTGCAGCTAGATGCAGTTAAATACCAGACCATGAGGTGGAAATAAGTGTGAGACTCTGACAATACTTACTTAAAAGACAAAGCACTTTTCACTTTCCCTTTTTAGGACTGCTTGACTGAAACCCAAACATAGTAGCTGTAACCCCAGCAGCCAGGGGGGCCATGAGGACCTCCTGTGGAGACTGAAGGGGACCATGAGGACCTCCCAGAGGTGAAGGGGGAAGATGTCTGGTCTCTGAAGGGACCTGCTGTACTGTCCCCAGACTCTCTACCTGCGAGCTCCTTTACATGAGACAACTTCTAGCCTGTTGAAGCTACTATCTGTGTTGCTTTAACTGTGCCCAAGCCAAATCCTAACCAATCCAGTAAGAAACTAACTCTACAGATGCATATATAAGCTGTTCGCTTTATAAAAATAGGATATTACACATATTATTTTAAATCTTTAAAAAAAATATTTTTCAAAAAACCAAAAATTCTGTTCAGGAGATCCAAGCTACTGCTCATCTCTCCACTTCCCACTGAAGCGCAGTGAGGACTGGCGACCACACAGGGCTGGTCAGCCGTAGGCTGCTGTGTCCGGAAGCGGCCTCTACCAGTTCCGCCAAATGCTTCCAAGAGTCAGTTTTCCTTTTACAAATCTTTTGTCAGGTGATTTGATATTGAAAATACATAACTTAGAATTACTACTTAAATGAATAAGACAGAAAAAGTTCTATGAAAATTATAATTTAAAAACAATTTAATATAGATGAGGAAATTGTAAAGTCTAAAGAAAACAACCAGAAGGATTCTGTACCAGGAATAACTTATGGTACCTTTAAGTACCATAAGTACTTAACAATAATGAAAACAACCGCAAACCATAAACTATGAATACTAGTTTATGCAAATATAATGTAACGCTGTAAGCAGACACCCGCAGATTGGAAAAACGTGTGCAAATACACAGTTACATGGGAGATGGCTCAGCGGCAGAGTGCGCCACACCACTGTCTTCTGCAGTCTCCACAGGAGGCCTAAAAGCAATGAGCCCGCTTCATCATGAACTGAAGGACAGAAGTTCATTCTTTCCAGTGCTGGCCACAGTGACGGAAAACTAACATGCCAGCAGCAACTGGACAACACCGTGTCTAATCAGGTTTCAAGAGAACTAGAGTTTTAGTAGAAAAAAAATATTAGCAGACAATTGCAAATTACACGTTTGAAATGTGAAATATAATGGATTCATGTATTCACAATATCTTTCCGTATTATTTAATAACCCAAAGTGCCACTTTTTTTCAATTTCCTCAAATTCTTTTCTTCTTGCTCTGGGCTCCACTAAATCAGGAGAAAATTTAAAATAGTAATTCAATGAACATAACAGGTAAAATGATCTAGAATTACCAAACAGATTTATAATCTCACTTTTGTTCCCTGTCCTATCACCTTTAACCGCTAAATATTTATATTCATTCTCTTAAGGGGTCAACCTTCATGTTAGCTCAAATCCTAAAAGGATGTGTATAAAATGTTACATGGTAATTTGTTATGTGCATCTTGTATTTTACAAGGGAAACTATTATAATAAAAATTTTATAAAAGCTGTGATTTAAACAAAATTACATGTATTTAATAACATACTGTACTTTCAAAGAAAACAAGTAATAAAAGGTAAATTAATCGATTTTAAAGATTAAATATACTTGGAATAATGCATTCTTTCTAACAAAATTTTAAATAGAATTTTAAATAAGTAGCCAGCAAAGTATAGCCTCCAAATACAACCCGGCCCATTGCTTGTTTCTGTAAATAAACTTATTGAAACAAGCCATGTGCATTCATTTACATGCTGTCTCTGGCTGATCTTGTTTGAGTAGTAGCTTCAGAGAATCACATAGACTGCAATGTCTAAGATAGTTACCATTTGGCTCTTTCCAGAAAATGTTTAGTTTACTAACCTCTGGTTTAAAGTATCATACCACCTCCTCTACCTCAAAAACTGTTAGTTTCATCAGTTAAACTAATTGTGAATTACTCTGAAAAACAGGAAAAAATATTTTTACAGCTTTAAAAATTTAAAAAGCTGAATAAAATTAATGATGAGAAAGTTAAATGAAAAACACTCAACTGTTAAATCAACAATACTGAAATAAAGGCTTATACAAATAAGTATTTTTAAAAGCCAAGAATTTAGTTTACTATTTTGCTCATAAAAATTAAGGGCTCACCTGATTGATCCCAGGACATGTAAAATCTTTTCCCCATCTAATGGATAGTCGACATTTGGGGGTGGTGAGGGACGCTGAAATACAAACATCATAAGCATAAGTTTCTACATGTTGCAAACTATGGAAAAAGAAGATGTATTTATTTTTTAACTTACTTCATCATTCCCATCAATATTAAATTTTGCTGCCTGGATTTTGAGTCCTCGCTTCAGATCACTTACAAAGCAAGTACGCACTTAAAAGAGTAAAAGGAAACTTTGTTATGCCTTCAGATTGTCCAAATAGAATAAAGCTACATTCCAGCTCAAATACTGCTCCTCAACAGGACATACTACTCAAGTGTTCACCTTTTTGAAAATGATACTTTCTTTCCCCCAGATAACCATGTTTGAGAAAACTAGTCTGCTGTTGGATAATCCTCACATGAAGAATAGAATAAAAAAAGATAAATTTCAGCATCATTAAATGTAGCTCTTTTCATTGAATAACATTTTTTTTTTAAAGCCAGATTTACACCCTCCCTCTCTTTCTGATCCTTTGGTGTTCAGGACAGAAAACTAAACTTTGCTCTTAGCTGAAGTGTAACCCTCTTAAGAGTTCAGGATTTTTTGGTGTAATTATTTTCTCCCTCACAGCATACTCCAATCGTACCACTTTCCTTCTTGTATATAACTGTTTGCATTTTGAACACTGATTATTTCCATTGCAAGTATCTGTTATAATAAACTGCTTTAAATTATTTTTGAAAAATAGGTAAAGAATAAAAGTTTAAAGAGACAAAACTGATGTTGAATGCATGAAGTCTGATGAGTTGTCAAACTGTATGTAAACCGTATCAGCCATATATGAGAAGAATTTGACAAAACTGTGTTATGTATTTGTTTTTTCACAGAAATGGGTTCCTATTGTATATCATTATTTAGCCACATTTTTTATCCTGTTAACATTTGGAACAACACATAAATATATTTAAATCTTTTTTTATTAGCTTCATGGTATTTGTTATTTTTTTATTTTTATTTTTGCCTTTTTTGAGACAAGGTCTCGCTACGCAGTTCAGGTTGGCCTTGAGCTCACTTTGTAGCCCTGGCTGGGCCTTAAACTCACAACAATCCTCCTTCTTCAGGCTCTAGGGTGCTGGGATTACAGGCGTGCGCCACACCACACCATTTTTATTATAAAGTTATCAAACTTCACTCAGCTAGATGGAGCACGTGCTCCTAACTTTAATAAGTATCACAGATTGTTTTCAAAAGGGTTAGTTTCAAATCCTTACTAATATCAATAAATACTCATTTTCCCAACAATCTTACCAATGCTGGGTATGTATCTTTCAAATTTCTGCCAATCTGATGTTTCCCTAGTAGGAAAGTGAAATATCTTTTCACAAGCTAGAGGACACAGGAAGAGATACTCCACAAGGTCAACAGCTGTTACATCATAGAGGCTATACCAGGAAAGGGGAAAAGGAACTATTCATTTTACTTGAGATAAATTCGCTCTCTGTATTATTTGTGCTGTGTAACAGGCCTGATTACAAATGACTACAATTTTACAATAAGTAAAAAATGTTAGCTTGTATTGTATAAGTGAACACTACAATAAGGAGCAAGATCTGTTTTGCAGTCCTAACCCTAATACTACCAATTTGTCTGCCGCTGAACAAATCACTAAATATCCTAGGGGCCCAGCTGTGCAAATTAGCTTCAAGTCCCATTTAATTCGAAAACCCATTACTGTCTAATTCTCTATTAATAAATCTAGAATATTAATTTTATATGACCCTCTGCTTACTGAAGAACGTAAGTTGTATTTTAAATGCTTTTGCTTTAGTGAATAAAAATAGCAGAAAACCCAATTTGAACATTATCATAAAAATCCACTCTATCAAAGTAGAATATATTTTATTAAAGTGAATCCAATATACTTTGACTCCAATTCTAGAATGTCTGAGCAGTCAATAAAATGACTAACTTTACCAAAAAAAGTAAAAAGAAAAACTAGAATTAAAAAATATTATGTATCAATCTAGTGACTTTCTTGAACAATCTGTTATATTATACTGTTTAACTACCAGTGCCAGAGTACCCTTATACTCCATGCATAATTAAGAAGCTGTCTCAGTAACACATCACAAATAATGCCAGAGCTTTCATAAGTATAAAAAGAAATCAGAGATTTTACTATATTATTCGATAGCCTATATATTAAATATTTTTAGGATATTACATTGTATCTTTTCTTTCTGTGCACATTTTTAGAAAAATGCCCTCCAAACTAACACTAAAGGACAAACATGGGAACTTAGTTTACCTTTAATGTCCTCTAAGATACCTTCTGGAACTGAACCTGAAACAGAAATTTTATTTAGAATTATAAAACTTTAATCATAATTAAAAATAGTCTAGTAAATTACATATATATTTCCATTTTTTATTCTAGAAATTTAAAAATATACAATTTAAACACTCTAATAGAAAAATTAATTTTACTTTTTGGAAATACACTTCCTCATTTAAGGCCAAGAGAAAATCACAGAAGCTGAAATCAGGTGTGCAAAAAATGGTATAGAATGTGACAGATGCACAAATTTCATAAAAACAAGCCTTTAAAATATAGATATCTGCCAGATGTGGCAGTGCATGCCTGTAATCCCAGTGCTTGGAAGGCTGAGGCAGGAGTATCGCCATGAGTTTGAGGCCAGCCTGAACTACATACAAAACAAACATCAACAAAACAATACCCACCCCCAAACTCCAAGTAGCAAAAGAAAAACATCATAGTTGAAAAAATACAATAGAATGAAGGCAAAGGATTGTGTAAGGAGGACTTCTGGTGCCTGGGAATCTGTAGCTGAAATAAGGTACAAAAGGTAGAGTTACATGCTAGAAGGATGAACAAAGTAAGATTGTGAAGACACCTGTGTACCAAACACGTAATTTGGTTTCTACCTTGTAAAATCTAATACAAATCCTCAATGAGACGAGTGCTGCGATAAGGATTTTTTGGGAAGTTATTCCTGGCAACTGTCAAAGGGACTGAATCAGACAGGCTGTTGTGATAACCCAAGCAAGAGATCATGAGTCTCAGTGGTGGGGAACCTATAGCATGCATGATGCTGCGGGGTGTTCGTTATCTCTGAGAGCTCTAAAAGGTCTGCTATTGCTGGAAATTAAAGGAAAGTGTTTGTTTTCAGACATTTGTTAGTGTGAAAGATGGGGAAAAAGTGAAAGCTGGTAAAGATTTCAGAGGAGTAACTGAAAGGATCTGCTAATGTCTAGCTTCCTAAAAGGGGGTCTAAGGATTTATCTTTACCTAACAATGCTTAATTGAAATGAATGAGAGAAGAGGTTTTATGTTCACTTTGGAAGTTTTAAGTCTGAGGTCATGGTGACACAGATAGTTTCTATCTCACGATCAGCTGCAAATATGAAGATAATTCAGAAGGATCAGGCCAAGTGACACATTTGATAATCAACAGCACAGATGTAGCTGAAGTCGAGGAAGCAGATGTGATCACTTGTAAACAGTCAGTAGGAAAGGAGGAACAGACTCGTCACTGGGGGCTATCAGCAGAAAACAGGAAGAGATGATACCAGATGGGCACCTCAGAAATAACAGAACACACAAGAGAAGAGGACCCTGAACGCCAGGTAAGGGAGCACTTCAAGAGCACATCACGGTCCACAACATCAGAAGTCGTGAAAAGGTTTACCACACCAAGAGAACTGCAGCACCGTGAGCAGAGTGATGTCGGAGGCAATGACGATAACAAGTCAACATGAAGTACTGTGCCCTAATCGAGCCCACCACTGGAGAAGCACAGTGCAATACAGTAAGTCTGAACCCAGGTTAAAGACACGAGAAGAGCACAACCCACTCCTGAGCAGCGCAGAATGAATTTACCCATCACCGAGGGAAGGCTCTGTTCTTTGGCAGCACCGGTGTCCACAGTACACTGTTCCAACAGCTGAGTTTCCAACTCTCTGAAATTTGAAAGTTACTGAAATTAAAATATTGCAACTGATGGCCTTTTTTTACTGAACAAGTCTCACAGCAGATCGATGCTTTAAATAAAAATGGTTTTATCCTGCAAAGATGAATACACTTAAAGCTAACAGACAATGGAATGAGTAAAATTAAATGTCTGTATTGTAAGCCCTCAACTGACCACTGAGCGCTGTGTTAAACTCCAAAACACTTACTTGTGCAGAGCTTTTCCTCCTAGGGGGAGAGCCCCCCAACAATTTAGTACTGGGATTCCTTCATATATCTACAGGGTGGTCAAGGATATTATTTTGGAAGAGTATGTGATTTTCTTGATATTTTCTCACCTTTTATTTTTTTTTCCTTACTTTTTTTTTTTGGTACCAGGAATTGAACTCAGGACCTTGTGCTTGCCAAGCAAGGCACTATGCCACTGAGCTATATCCCCGGGCCCCTTTTCTCACCTTTTGCAGTTCCATTTTAATCAACTTTGGCGATAAATATTTTCTTTGTTGGTGAGGGTGGTATTAAGAAGTGAACCCAGGGCCTCTGTACTGAGCTACATCCCCATCCCCGTTTTTGTTTTTGAGACAGGGTCAGTTACCCTGGCTGGCCTCTAACTTGCAGTCCTCTTGCCTCAACCTCCCACAGTGTTGGGATTTTTAAAAAAATTTTTTTAAAGATTTACAGAAAAGTCAAAGAGAAAGTCTTTTTCTCACATTCTTCACAAAAGAAAATATACACACACATACAAATGCAACTCACTACTCAGTGACAGGATGTCCAACAAAGGTAGACAGGGCTAGGGAACCCTTGAAAGACTCAGAACTGAGATATGCTGTAACTTATAAGACTTTAATTTAAAAAATATATAACTTACATTGATTATACATTGTAATATTTTGGGTCAAATAAAATATACTAGTTAATTTCATTTATTTATTTGTAGTTTTAAAAATTTGACTTGTAAAATTTTAGATTGTGTATATGGTCTACGATGTGTTTATACTGGACAGAACTAAGAGGATAGTGCTATGGTTTGCTACCTTATTTTACATATTATTTTGGCTAATGTTCTGTAACTACAGTATTTATAAAACCGAGAAGAGCCAGGTGTGGTGGTGCATGCCTGTAATCCTAGCACTTGGGAGGCTGAAGGAGGATTGCCTGGGCTCCATAGTGAGTTTAAGGTCAGCTTGAATACATACAGACCCTGTCTCAAAATAAACAGTTTTTAAAAAGGGAAAATAAAGTATTGTGGTAAGATTGTTGGTTTTAAACACAAACACAAATCTGTATCATAGCTGTATGCTTATATGAGCTTAGTTTAACTATCTACCCCAATTTTCAATTTTCTCATTTATAAGAAGAGTGATACTTATTTTAAGAATTAAACCATGGGCCGGGCATATAGCTTAGTGGCACAAGCACCTGCCTGGCAAGCACAAGATCCTGAGTTCAATTCCCAGTACCAAAAAAAAAAAAAAAAAGAATTAAAACAAGTACTTTATATTTAAAAAGCTACTGCCTACGGGCTGGGGATTTAGCCCAGCGGCACAGCACCTGCCTGGCAAGCGCAAGGTAGTGAATTTGATTCCTGGTACCGGAATCCCCCGCCCCTCCACCGCCAAAAAAGCTACTGCCTAGTTTAGGTTCTTAGGAGTACATGACTATTTCTTTCCCATGACTATTTCTTGTAGTAAATACTCATGCAGATCTTAAAACTTTTAAGTCTTACATCTAAATATTTCAGCCTCCTTTCTCAATGAAGAAATGTCCACAGTGACAATTCTAAAAAATATTTATCTATATGCTACTTAAATGTTTATAATGAAAATTAACGGACCAATTTATATAGTCAGTCACTCCACTGTGGAAAAACTAGAATTAGTGAGTTTTCCCCTAGGCCAGTGATGATGAACCTTGCAGGGAACAGCACCCAAACTGCAACCCAAAACCCACTTATTTATCACGAAGTCCCAACACTGCAATTAAACCTGATTACTGAGGTTTTACTTTAGAAAAACAACTCACACATTAACATTTTTTGTCTTAAAAACAAATAACACCCATGCTGTAGGTCTGCCACCGCTGCCCTAGTGAATGATATAAAAACTACAGCATGACCTGAGCAGGTTAGTGTGAGCCAGGTCCTGAGTGCTCTGCACACAGTACCTCAATCAAGCCACACGGCTCTTGTAGCAGATGCAGCCACTGTCGCTGTCATTTCATACACGTAGAAACTGAAGCCAAAAGAGGTGAGGCTACTTGACCAACACCATGAGAGTGGTAAAGAGCACAGGGCGTATTTGCACTTACCGGGTATTTGACTCCAAGCCCTAACTCGTAAACCCTATGGTGCAGCTTCTGGAGATAAGAGAATATACTTCCTTTCTCTAGCAAAGGTTCGGCTATGTGAAAGCTGCTTTCACACTGCCATTAAGCCTTGGTTTTTAACTGAATCATTTCATTTCATTTCTTTAATTACTCTTCCTATGATTTTTTTCTTAGAATGTAACTATTCTAGTGAGGTTTTGTGACAAATCCTAGTTAGCTGGTATTTCTCTTGAAAATTGAACATAACACTGATGAGCTCTGCTCCTGGAATATACTCTGGGACCAAGTCCTAATGGTAATTACTACAAAAAGTTAACTTAAGTCTTAAAATCATATGAACTTTTACTACATGGTAACTCCTATCTGTACATGGTAACCCCAAATACCTTCATACAATAAAAATTACTTCTAATAGTTTGGGTTTTTTGGTTTGTTTTTGTTTGTTTGTTTTTTTGGTCTTTTTAACAAAGGGTCTCACTATGCAATTCAGGCTGGTCTTGAATTCACTCTGTAGTCCAGCCTGGCCTCGAACTTGCAACGATCTTCCTGCCTCAGCCTCCCGAGTGCTGGGATTACAGGTGTGTGCTACCAAGCCCGGCTAATATTATTTTATTTTATTTTTGGTATGGGGAATTGAACTCAGGACCTTGCACTCACCAGGCAGGTGCTGTGCCACTGACCTATATCCCCGGCCCTTAATATTATTTTAAACTAGAGTAAAAACTACATAATTGATTGACAAAAAAAGATACAGGCAACACCAGGCTTTCCCTATATCCACAATCCAGGACCATGGCAGAATTAATTCCAAGTGTCAGAAGAGCCATGAGATGACTTGGAGCAAGCAAGACAGATGGAACCTAGAAAACAATAAAATTAGATTGAGTATCACTATCTGAGGGTGCCTGCTTTATAGTCAAGAGTATTTGAAAAATGCATAGGCCTGTTGTATTTATATTATGATACCTATTCAACCATTTTACGGCAATAAATTAAAAATCTTGTTGATTTTTAATATTTCATACCTTTATATTATGATACCTGTTCAACCATTTTATGGTATTAAATTAAAAATCTTGTTGATTTTTATATAAACTTACCCCAAATATACTGTAATATATAAAAATACTTTAAGTTGTTTCATGCCAAAATGACAATTCTGATGCATTCTTATTAATGTCTGTTCTATCTCTTTGCATATGCTAGGTAATGCTCTAGCACTCACTGAGCTACCCCGCTAGCCTTTCTTCTACTCTAAAAACAACTTATTCACTGGATTTAAAAATAGGTACCTCAAAATATTTGAACAGAACACGAGTGAGAGTCTCTCTGAAGTGGGAAGGGCACAATACTGACTCGATAACCACAACTCGGCGGTCTCTGGGGTTCACCAACAGATGCCTGAAAAATGATAGTTATGTTTTTAACAGTAAACAGAAGTGTAGCTGTTTTGGTCAGTCCTAGAATGTAAGAACACAGAAATTGTATTACCTCAGCTTAAGATTCTTCATTTTCTTCTCCTGGAAAGAGTATACTCCTGAGCTCTTCCTATATGCCATGCACTATGCCAGAAACTTTATAAACTTATTTAACACAGAAAACTAAAACTGTACCCACTAGGATTGTAACTTGAGATTAGGATTATTTTATTTTGTGGATTACAAAAATAATATATGCTCACAAAACTCCAAATGTTATAGTCAGTAACTTAGAAAGTATAATGTCCTTAACACTTTTCCTGCCCCAAGCGACACAGCTGGCACATTTTTTATTCTTATGGATGTATACACACGTTTGAAAAGATACACCCATAGATGTTCTTCTTCAGCGTGCCTTATCACTTCTAAGTATTCTCAGGACATTTTTCTGGATCACTACATAGACACAGAACTCTTTTTTTAAGTTTAACGTTTTGGTGTTGGGCTCCAAGACAGGGCCCTGCCCATGACAGGCAGGCGTTCTATCACTAAGCCAGTGCCCCTTCTCAATTTACTTACCAATCCCCTTTATCAGCGAACATTTTTCATTATTTTATTATGCTTGCCAGTTTTCTAGTCTTCAAACATATTTTTGAAGAGGTTGAAAATAACCAAGTCAAAATGGCAATGCAAGTCCATTTTTTCCCACATCATTTGTAATCCAGCCAGGAATCACTGCCATTAGGAAACGCTAATTACAAAAGTTAGAACAAAACCCCAAACAAACAGAATAGCATCTTACCTGAAATATAGTATGTGGATGAATTCCTTTAGGTAAGAATATAACTCTTCTGTATTGATATTATACTGAACAACCTTGATAGGCTACAAAAAAAATGAAAATGATTAATTTACATAAATAATCTCAAATTAAAACTGAAACGTATTTATGTATTTTATTAATGCATTTTCTCATAATAAATACAATTTGTACTGAGAGTAGATTTAAAAAATTATTAAAACTAGATCAATCTCTTAGGAATCCTTGAAAACTGACAATGTCCAAAAAGATGGTGTAATAGTTGACAGGAATGTAAGTAAGATCTGTGCTCACACAGTTATCATCCAACTGCCTTAGCATGTGCACCTAACATGATAAAAATTAGCACTGATTAAAAAGCACTGAAAGCTTCACCATTTCAGACCCGGCTCAGTTTCGGGGAGCTACTCCCAGAGCATAAGCACCACCTGTTCTGGATAGCAACACACCTGATTTGCAAATAACCTCCCTTCCTGCTGGCCTTTCAGCTGCAGGAGGAGGTGCAAGGTGGGCCCCGTTCAAGAACGTGGTACAAACAAGAACCAGCAGCACTGACACACAGCTGCAAGCCATGCTAAATCATTGTGCTGTGTCAACGCTTGCACCTAGCAAGGGGTTTGGCTAGATCCTCAAAGCTCCGTGGGTGCAGATGCATCATCCACAAGCTTCTCTTCGCATGTGCGCGCATGCGGGTGTGTGTGTATAAAATACCAGAGATTGAACCCAGGGCCCTGTGCTTGCCAGCCAAGTGCTCTACCACTGAGCTACTTTCCCACTCACCCCCCTTTAAAAAAACTTTTATTTGAAGCAGGGTCTTGCTAAATTGCCTGCAGGCATGTACCTCTGCTCCCAAATGCATTTACTCTTTTAAAGGAAAGACCTCTTGATCTTATGTGGTTTACAGGTTTCAAGCTATGCCAAGCTGAATATATGTATGTATCTGTCTTTTCAACACAGTAACAGCCCAGAGCACTAAGAACAATGTGAACGAGAACATATAGCCCAGTCTAGTCAAGCATGCAGTGATACTGTAATGTCTAATGCAAAAAAACAAACAGACAGGAACTTCCATCACATTTTGAACATCATGCCACCAAATCTGCTTTTCTAGTTTGTACAAGAATTTGCAGAAAAATCTGAAATTGATAAAATGATCTCATAATCAAGTAGAATTAAAACAGTTCCGATGCATTACAATGCCAAATACAAATTGATATCCTAGTCTATTCTGTTACAACATATGTTTTTATAAAAGCAAATATGTTCTATGAAATTGCCAAATAAGGGAATAATGTATATAATGTTAAAGCTGTAAATCTACACTATGCAGGAGAAGCTCAAATGATCCAATTATAACCTTCATTAAGAACAAATCATTGAGCAGGGCATGGTGGCGCACACCTGTAATCCCAGCATGTGTGAGGCTGAGGTTGGAGGATCACCACAAGCTCGAGGCCAGCCTGGGCTACTGGGCTACATAATGAGTTCAAGATCAACCTGAATGAGACCTTGTCTCAAAAAAAAAAAAAAAAAGTCATTGATTCAGCAGTCACACAAGTAGGATCTGCACTTATCATTACAGATCTAGAGTTAAATGGTCCCTAAAGCAGGAGCTTCCTTTCCAGAATGGACCCTTTTATACCATTGGACTCTATTTCCTAGTCCCAACTTAGTAACAAGCCCATGAGCTCATACTTCTCTCTGCATTGTCTCAGCACCTCCTAGCCAACATTTTCCATCATTTTATTTTGGTTTTAATATCTCCTTAGCCAGGCATGGTGGTGCATGCCTGTAATCCCAGCACTTGGGAGGTTGAAGCAGGAGGATCCCGGTGAGTTCAAGGCCAGCCTGGGTTACAAAGTGAGTTCAAGACCAGCTTGAACTGCATAGTGAGACCCTCTCTCAAAAAGACCAAAAAAAAAAAAAAATTAGTATCTCCTAAGATAGCCTCAAGTCACATACAGCTGCCAGCCACAGCTATTCAAAATTTCCCATAAGGTAACTTATTATTTTTGGTAGTGTTCCAGTTACAAAGTTACATGGATTTTGCATATGGTCAACCCCAACCTCATTTTCCCACGCTTATCTTGTTAAAAGCATACAAATTTGCAAAACACAGGTTTTCATTTTCTGTGGGTTTTTTTAGGAATACAGTATTATGTTTTAGCACAATTTTATATTTCAGCGAATTTTAAACTATACAAAACTATTCTATTAGTTTACAATTCCTAATCTGCTAAGTTAGCTTTGGCAAGTCATGAACTTAATCTATTTTTTTTAATTTTAAAATTAAAAGGAGGAAAATATTAACAGACAGACAACATTTTACAAAATAGCAAAGGAACAGTTAAGACAGTACGGAGTTACAAACAAAGATGAACTTAATCTTGTTCCTCAAGATTCTTTCGGTTTTGTTTGTGCCCACCCAGGGATGCCACTCGTTGTTTTAGGGCCAGGTGTGGTGGTGCATGCCTATAATCCCAGCACTCGGGAGGCTGAGGCAGGAGGATCGTTTTGAGTTCAAGGCCAGCCTGGGATACAAAGTGAGCTCAAGGCTAGCCTGAACTGCATTGCGAGACTGTCTCAAAAAGACCAAAAAAAAGATTCTTTGGGCTCTGGAGTAACTAGAAAAGGACCTAGTCTTTGAATAAGGTAAGAATAACATTGTTCAGTACTTATGATATAGTGCTTATAAAACTATTTTACTAAGATTAAAACTTTCTCTTGGCATTACATGACTCCATTTACATAAAATGTACAGAAAAGGCAAACCTAGTGAAACAGTACACTATCAGTACACAGGAGGGAATGGGATGAACTACAAAGAGGCACCAGGAAACAGGGTGATGAAAACACTCTAGGAATGGACTGAGGACAGCTGTACAACATGATCAATTTATAGTATACAAAATTAGACCTTGAAAAAGCTGATTTTAAAACTCTTTCTTGGGAACACAACTGTAAGTTATATGTTCAGCACTGCTTTATCAATCTTATTTGAGGTTTTAGGGGTTGGGGGTGCAGCTCAGTGGTATAGCACCTGCCTAGCACACAGGAGATCCTGGGTTTGAGTGCCAGCACCAAAAACAAACAAAAAAGAAAAGTAAATAAAAAGATTTGCTTTTGCCAGATTAGCCATTCCTTTTGCTAATTTGTTAGAGAAAATACCTTAGGCAGTCCAGCTTTCTTTATCACACTAGGAATTATACATCTTGGACCTGTTTCTCCAGCAAATCCACATCTGCAAATAAATGGAAAAATAAAAGTCAATAACATTCTTCCTGAGTATTTGTCAGAGCAACAAGTATTTCTGTATTTGTTTCAAAACAATGACCATAAGAACATCTAGAAATACCCTGATGCATTCAAAGGAACCAAAATAAGCAAACAAAAAACTCAACTAAGCAGGTAACACCTTCTAAGGATTATACAAAGGAAAAAAAAAAAAGGATTATATTAAAGGAAAAAAATCAAATTATCTCAAATTTGTGATACTAAAATAAACCACTGTACCATTTTACAGCAGGATTTACTTTACCCCAGTTTTAATTTAATTTAAATTTACTTATTTTTTGAGGCAGGGTCTTGCTATGTAGTTCTGGCTGGCCTTGAAGTCACCATGTAGCTCAGGCTGGCCTCCAACTTGCTGTGATCCTCCTGCTTCAGCTGCCCAAGTGCTATTACTACAGGAGTGTACCACAATGGCCAGCTATAGTACATCTTTTTAAAAACTCTTCTCTTGAATATTTAGCTATTACTATTCTTGTTTCATCACAATGCTCGTTTAGTCTTAGCATCACCTTTTCTTGTCCTGTATAGTTTTTGGTAATTGTTCTCCTATACCGAAAAATCTCTCCCTAAGTTGTACTACGCTCATCTCCATGTTCACTTGCCTAGTGCTCCTCAAATTCCCCGCACACAACTCAAAAGGTAGCTTAATTCCTTTTAAACATCATTTATCCCTTCCTGCTATCTTTTTCAATAATCATATCCCCATGCAATGACTTATTTCTTCACTGTACAGTCAAAATAATCTTTAGTAGTCTCCAAGTATTTTTTTAAAAAAGAAGTTAGAAAAAATACAGTATACCCACGCGAAGTCACGGTTCAGAGTTCCTGACCTGCGCTGTTAGAGGATTTTTCCTTAAAACCTAGTAATTATTTTGCAGAAACCCCAAATATCCCCCGCAATTTTCTTTCTTTCTTTTTTTTTGGGGGGGGGGGCAGGAGGTTTGCAAGTAGCCAATCCGAGAGCGTTATTGTTGTCTTTGCTGCTGATTGGCTGCTGCCCTGTATCCCATCTCTGCAAATGCACCAGGATGCCCATATAACAGGTTGCTGTACTTGAGTGTTCTGTTTGTTCTTCTCAAAGCCCTAAGATGCCACCAAAGCGCCCTGCACCAAGGCTTCAATAACACAATATTTTATTAAATTATATAACAACGGCAGACATAGCATATTTTGGGTTTAACTATAAAAACAGGCTTTTTCTGACCACATCTGAAATTCGCAGTTTTTCACAATTCGTGAGTGCTCTAGGAATGTAAGCCCCGCGAATTTCGGAGGTCCACCGTAAATTAATACACAGGGGCCGTGCATAGAACAGTAAGAGAATGCCAGGATTCGTGAACTATGTTTAATCCAACATAGATTGTGCTCCTTAGGTCCAATTTTTAACTATGTAAATTCCTCTGACCATACCTACCATACGTTAGGCAGTATTTAAAGATAAAGATTTTTCAGATATTTCCATTTCACACATATAAGTAGGTGTAATTCTGTTGGTCATTTTTCTACATCGAAGCCAGGACTGACTTCACTTAGGGTCCAAGGATGCAAGGATGATCCGCCAGCCCCCGCAAACGGCCTAATGTTCGCGGTTTGCGCATTTGCGATTGTCATCAAGCTTTCTGACATCTCTGCCATCCAAACGGATGAGAACCACTAAAAATGTTTAATCCTAAATTTAAAGACGGCAAGAAAGGTCTTCCACTGTCATTCACAGTTTCACCTCCCTGTTTATGGACCCAGTCCCTCACTTGATTCTTCTCTAGGCGGTCAACCACCCTATTTCCACAGTCAGAAGCTCCACTCAATAAATATTTCACGACGGAACCGTCCACAGGAGTTCGGCTGCTGCCTTCCCAAAGGGACGAGCGCAGGGCAGGCGGCATCCGGTCCCCGCTGTACCGGGCGCACAGCACAGGCGCGGCCCGCCGCGAGGCCCGGGGCTTCGGCCCCTTGGGTCAGAGCCCCCGTTCCCGGCCCACGGGATCGGCGGCCCCAGCGGGACGCAGCAGGGCCGCGGGGGCCGGCGCGGGGAAGGACGGGCGGCCCCGCGGCACTCACTTGGTGAAGGCCTCTCCCAAGTCGATCACGACCGCTGTCTTCTCGCCGCCGCTGCCCAGGCCCTCGTAGAGCGGCATGGCGGCCCGGCCAGCAGCAGGCCGCAAGGGGAAAACGTCCACAGGCTCTGGCCGGCGGGGCGCTGGGCGGCGGCGGCGGCGGGGGCCTCGCGGGGGCGGTGCCAGACGGGCTGTCCAAGGATGTGCCTCATTCCGCGCGGGGAGAGGGAGGACGGGCAACGAGGCTGTCAGGCGCGCCGGGCACCCCGGCTGGGGTGGTGCGCACTTCCGGGGTCCTTCCCTCGCGGGTCCTCGAGCGGCGCAGGCGCATCTAGGGGGAACCCTGCTGGAGCGGGACCTGCGGGGTCTTCCTGCTGTCCGAAGTGCTGTTCCTACCCTCAAGTGTGGGGTCCAGGTGCTGAACCCTGGGTCTTCGCACTGAGCTACCTCCCCCGCCATTTATTTATTTAGTTAGTCTTTTTGCGTTACGGTGCTCGCTGTATAGTTCAGGCAGTCCTTGAACTCCCTGCTGTAGCCCAGGCTGACCTCGAAGTGGAGGTGACCCCTCTCCTTTTTATGTTTTATTTTGAGACAGGGTCTCGCTAAGTTGCCCAGGCTGAGCGCGAACCCGGCGAACCTCTCTCTGCTTCCTACAGTCTTGGGATACCCGGCGTGCACCGCCACGTTTGGCTTGGTTCTTGCGCTCTTGTGCAGAAATTGCTGCGCACCTGTTCTGGGCCAGCCCTTGTTCCTGTCACTTAGTCGACCCAGTAAATAGTGAGAATAAGTGTTGCGTTTTAACGTGCGAGCGGTGCTCGGAGGGATTTTGTACATAATTCCCCAGCCCCTGGCCCCCAACGGACCCAGGAGCACACCTAGAAATTTGCTGATTTGAAAGCTTGCGCTAATGCTTTAGAGAATAATACGTACAGACAGCGCTTTACTTAGTAGTCATTCTGTTGAAATTTAAATCCAAGGAAAGCAGCCCAAGTAGCATCTATGACGAGCAGTCAGGATGTGTTTTTTTTTTTTTTTATGTTTTTGTGTTTTGTTTGTTCGTTTGAGACAGGGTCTTGCCATGTAGTCCAGGCTGGTCTTGAATTCACTATGTGGCCGAGATTGGCCTCGATCCTCCTGCCTCAGCCTCCCCAGTGCTGGGATTACAGGCGTGTACTACCAAGCCTGGCTAGATGTGGAAAGAATGTTGTGGCTCCCTTTTCCTCCAGAGCCCAGGAAGACATACAAAATCTCTCAGAGTACAACAGGACGTCTGTAATAGCAGTAGATTGTTTACCTTTCACAGATTATTTTAAAAAACTTTTTTCTGTAAACACTGTCAGCCCCAATTATGTATGGGGAAGAATAGATTGTCAAAGAAGAGGGTGTATAATGAGAAGAGAGTAGAATCTTGGTGAAAAACACTTAGCTAGTTGTGTTGAATGAATTGTATTCCCCCAAATTCGTGTTTACCATGAATCTCAGAATGTGATTTTTATTTGGTTTGTGGATTTTGCTGATATAATCAAGTTACAGTGAAGTCAGACAGGATTGAGGTTATGACTGCTAACTAAAGTTGGTGAGGTAGGTTGCTGCCCTACTTCTGACTATAAGAATAACCTGTTTTCTTGGTGTGTCTTAACCTGCTTTAGATGCCTGATCCTCCTTACAAAGAATACGATCTATTATAAGAGTTCATGTTGTACTTTTTAAAGTCTCCCTAATATCTCTAATCATCCATTTTCTCATCTGCAAACTGTTTGACTATTTCACAAGATGTCTGTGAGGATCATCCGAAATTGTAAAGTGCTTTCAAGTGTTAGCAGTCATTTGATTAGAGTCCATCTTAACACAGTATGAACTTATTAACTTGATTACAAATACAGAGACCCTAATTCCAAATAAGGCTACATTTTCATATTCTTGATGAAAAACAATTTGGGGGAACAACACTGTTCCACACAATACACCAGTAAAATTCGTGGGTGTTCATGGCTTTGCTCTTAAACCTCTTACTGGTGAACTGCTTCTTCGACAATGTCTGTAACTCCCTGCACCCAGAGGACTTGTTGAGTCCTGTTCCTAGCTCTGTTTGCTGTGTACAATCCCATTTGTTCCTTAGGACAATTTTATGAGTTCAGTATTATTTTTTCCATTTTACACATGAGAAGTTAAATAATTATGAGCAAGGCTTCTCAGCTGGTAAGTGACGAGGAATTTGAATGTAAATGGTCTTGTACAGTTGTAGATTCTAAAGCCCAAACTACATCGCATAGTTATAAAGTAGTTATGCATTAACTCAGATACTATGTTTTATAATACTATGTTTTATAATAGAACTGGGGGCCAGGGTAATGATATGCTATCAGTTAACTGTCAAGAGGTAATGGAGGCAAATCGTGGAGCCCTATCAGCTAGGGACTGACAGGGAGTTTGGACTTTACTCTGCAGGCATTAGAAACCACTGGAAACATATTGTGTGATCTTACAATGTGAAGTGACCTGAGAGGTTTTCCATTCTAACCTCTCACCTAATACAAGAGTTGTCCATCTCTGATGATAGTTATCTCTTAAACCCATTCCAGTGGTGAACATAGGGTGTATGGCTAGTTGAAATCTACAAAACGGAAAATGTTATTTGGTAAAATAGTTAAAGAGTCAGGCTGGGTGTGGTGGCGCACACCTGTAATCCCAGCACTCAGAAGGCTGAGGCAGGAGGATTGTTGCAAGTTCAAGACCAGCCTGGGCTACAAAGTGAGCTCAAGGCCAGCCTGAACTGCATTGCAAGACCCTATCTCAAAGACAAAAACAAAAAACCAAAAAATAAAACAACAATTAGTCAAAACAACTCAAAAGTGCTATAAGGGTGCAAATCATTTTGAGGAAATCCAACTCTTCCAGCAGTTTTAAATCCTACCTCTGTTAAGTGTCGAATTTCAGGCAACTTTGTTTAGTCCTCTGTTTAGTTTCCTCACTATAGAATGAGGAAGTTATACAAGTGCTAATGGTAACTAGGTTGAACTGAAATCTACATCCCTTTAATAACACTTACGCCTCTCCCCGCTTCAAGCTAATTGTCCCCTTTGATTGTGATTTTTAGCTTATTCATGAACCCATTTATCAGTTTCTGGAATCTTTTTAATGTACCTCATCCATTGCATAACACTGAAGATACATATATCTGCAAAGCTCCTGGGATGAAAGGCCTCAACTTCCTTGCTTCTGCTACTACCCATTAGCACTGTTGTAAATTTCTCTTGTGAGTTTTTGTGAGTTTGTTTTGTTTTTAGGCAAAACATCATCTGTTTAGATCTCTCCTGTCTTGCAGATTAAACCCTAACACCTATGTACCCAAATTTAGAGATGTTGGTGAACTGCTTCTTCGACAATGTCTGTAACTCCCTGCACCCAGAGGACTTGTTGAGTCCTGTTCCTAGCTCTGTTTGCTGTGTACAATCCCATTTGTTCCTTAGGACAATTTTATGAGTTCAGTATTATTTTCTGTTAAGTTTCTGTTATTTTCTGTTATTTAATACTGTTAGTTCAGTATTATTTTCTGTTAACTTTTCTGTTAAGTTTCATCTACCTAGTTTTGGTTCAGCATTCCAGCATGTTTTCCATATCATTTTAAAAATCCAGATCTTTTTAAATGAAGAGTCTAGTGTTTAACATGTTGGTTATAGTGCTACCCACAGATTTGAGAGGCATGCTTTCAGTTTTCATTCTTTCAATAAATACTTATTGAGGGCTTAATATGTGATAGGTCCAGAGATTATAAGAACAGAAAAGCCTGATTTTTCTTTGCACACTACTTTAGGGAGATTGACTTATAAGGTGAAAAATACCACATGAATTATATGGGAAGTGGCCATGGACACAGAGGAGGGGACCCACTGGAAGGAGGTGTCCATCCATTCTTGAAGAACTGAATTGTCTGCTAGGCACTGGCGGTACAAATAGAAAGCTAAGTTGACCTGCAAGCCTTATAAGTAATCACATGAGGACAAACAGACAAACTTTTGAAACTATTGATAAAAGCTAATGCTTGGTTAAACATGGTGCTTGCCACCATAGGCAAAGACTAAGAGCAACTCAGAATTTGTCAAGGGAGGTTGGAATGAAAATACAGGACATAGCCCACTCCCACCTCAGAGTTAGATAGGACTACTGGTTAAGGTGATCGTCATTGGCCAGTAATTTAGTCAATCATGTCTGTGTAACAAGGTCTCCATAAAAACCTGAAAAGACTGGGTTCATGCTGTTCTCAGTGCTGGGTGGAACCTCCAGCACTCAGGACCCATCCAGATTTCGTCCTAGGTGTGTCTTTGGGAACTGAACCCAGGCCTTGTGCCTACTAGGGAAGCATTCTACCACTGAGCGACATCTCCAGCCTTTTCAATATTTCATGTTATTTTAAGACATGGTCTCCCTAAATTGCCCAGGCTAGCATCAAGCTTGGGATCTTCCTGCTTCAGGTTCTCCAGTAGCTGGAATTACTGGTGCACACTACCACATCCTGCCCTGTGTGTCTCTACCTGGCTGTTTATTTGTATCCTTTAAAATATTCTTCGTCAGAAATGGGTGAGAAGAGAATACACACCAGGACACAACGCATGAACTCTTATCTAGAAGCTTGATGGCAGTTCAGCAAAAGTATTCCAGGGCAGAGACAGCTGCATGTGGTGATGGTTTGTAGGAAATTTGGTCAGATGGGGGCCAGGGTAATGATATGCTATCAACTAATTGTCAAGAGGTGGTGGAGGCAAATCATGGGGCCCCTAACTGATAGGGAGTTTGCACTTTATTCTGCAGGCATTAGAAGCCACTGGAAATGTCTTACCTAGGGGAGAATATGTCGCATTTGTGCTCAGCTCTTCCTTTTCCAGGAAGTGGGACCCACCAGGGTAACACGGAGGGGACTGAGCCTGGCAGTGAGAGACCAGCCCGCAGACAACTGGAAGGATCCATGAGAAAGATGAAGGTGGTGTGAGCTAAGACAACATCATGGCCAGGGAAAGAAAGGACTTTAGAGAAAGTTGAGAGCTTGTCTATAAAGACAGTATAAAGACTTCTTCTGACATGCAAAAGTTGAAAGCAGAAATAAAGGCTGAGGATCTAGCCCATAAGAAGTGTGAAAGATTCATCAGGTGGAAGGACAGTGAACATCCGTGAGCCGGCCCTCTA